GCTTTTCGTTGATTCAGAAGTTCAACAAAAGATGACTTTTTCTTTATTCCGACACTCTTTAAAAGTGGAGCAAGTGTCCGCAGGAGTATTTTGGTGAATAGATAAATGTGCAAGAATGAAAGGACCAAGTTTTAACTTCCTCAGGGTTAAAAGTAGAGTCTGCTAGGTTAGTATGAATCCTCCGTGCAATATCCCTCCATGCAATTGCTGTGGCTACTAGAAAAAGACTGCATTGGGGTAAATACGGACTTGAATGTCAATTCTTACTGTTTCATTGTTATTTTATGCTTTAGAGAGTAAAAGCACTTAAATAAATAAGATCAGTATTAAGAAAAACAAACAAAAAAGATCATTATTAAGAAATAACTTCTGGAAATCTAATAGAAATATTGTTCAGTTCATATAACAGTGATTATACTATCACCCGGGATTGATTATGAAGTTTAGAATATTTTCTATAAAAGCGAAAGTGACTAACATTAAATGATTTATTCAGTTTCTTCAAAAGAAAAGGGTTCAAAGACGCTTTGAAAGATGGTATGGGTATCAGAAATTAAAAGCAATGACATAGTTCTATGGTTTAGAAGTAATTTTAGGAGGGATATGGTATTGCGTTTGATTGTCTAGGAACTTTTGAAGTAAGAAGCACTGGCAGGATGATCTAAAGTAAGATAGAGATATTTCTCTTCTCTTTAATGAGAAACACCACTAGCACCTCTTGGCGCACCAATGAAGCACCACTAGCGCGCATTGGCATGCCAGAGTAGTGCCACTAGAGTGCATTGGCACATAAATGCTATGCCACTGGCACGTGTTGGTGTGTACATGCAGTGCCACTAGTGTGGGTTGGCGTGAGAATGCAGTGTCACTAGTGCGTGTTGGTGTGCCAATGCAGTGCGTCTTGGGGATCCAATGCAATGCCAGTAGTGCGTCTTGGCGTGCCAATGCAGGGGCACTAGTGCGTCCTGGTGCACCAATGCAGTGACACTAGCATGTGTTGGCGTGCCAATGAAGTGCCACTAGTGCATCTTGGCGTGCCAATGTAGTGCCACTAGTACCAATCCCTCAAACAAGACTAGAAAACTTGCAAATAGAAAGAAAGGATAAGCTGCTTAGAGGCCTCAACTTTAATCACATTTCTGAGAGGAGAATTTCTACCTGCATTCTCATCGCTCCTGTCAGGGTATAGTGTCCCTTTTTTCCTCTTAAAGAATTTTTCTTCCGAAGTGTGAGTTGTAGATTTTACCTTACAAAAGCAAATAATATAACCTAATTGTAGGTACCCTCCTATTAATCTGAAAAAAAAAAAGATAAAAAAATAGAATTGTTCTTCTTTTCCTCTGCTCCAGGGACTCTGAGCCCATGAAAACAGAACAGGCTAACTGAGTCCCCAGGGGGAATTTTCAAGCCCTAACAAGTTGGCTTAGAACTTCCTGATGAGCATTTACTCTCTGGCCAGATGGGGCCCTCAGACATAGATAGATGTCATGATCACCCCAATCATCATTCTCCTTCCTGGTGCCAATTTGTATCTGTTGTTATGATGATTTTGCGAAACAAAACCAATTTTGCTTTTTTACTGTTTTTTTGTTTGTGACTCTATTGTGACCAAAAACCAACAAAGAAAGTCTTTGATGGATGAAAACTCGCTTTTGTCTTTTTGTCTATGCTATTGTTCATAAGAAAACCTTACCTTCAAAAATCCTTTTTTTGCCCCTAGTGAGCCAGGACTTCATTCTGCCATCCTGGTTGGAGTGCAGTGGTATCATCAGAGCTCACAGCAACCTCAAACTCCTGGGCTCAAGCTAACCTCCTGCCTCAGCCTCTGAGCAGCTGGGACTACAGGCGTGAGCTACCGTGCCTGGCTAATTTGTCTATTTTTGTACAGCTGAGGGGCTCACTCTGTTGCTCAGGATACTCTTTAACTCCTGACCTCAAGCCCTCCTCCCTTCCAGGCCTCCCAAGGTGCTAGGATTCCAGGCGTGAGCCAATGCACCCCACCTGAAAATCCTTTGTGTGCATCTTCCTTATTGGTGATAGTGCCTCTTCACCATCCTCCTCCCCTGAGGTCTGCTCCTTGCTCCTCCTTTCTCCAGCTCTTCAATTTGCTCACAACACTCTTCTGTTGTTCCCAAATTTGTGTCATCCTTTGTGGTCCTTCCTAGGTTGAAGAGGGGGTGCACAGGAGGAGGGAGTCCTCCAAGAGGGAGGGAACAGCTCTATAAGCTGCAGTCACCCCAGTTGGGGAAGGCAAATTTAAGATGTTCTGCCACGTGGGGCTAGGGTCTAGGGTTTGAGAAGAGATAATTGCTAAAAGGGAAGCGCCTCTTACCATCTGGAAGTCTTTGCTCCCTTTCTCATAGAAATTGAAGACATTACCCATTCATCAGCTTTCATTTAGCAAATGTTTATAGAGCAGAACGTGCTGGCAGGGTTTAGATAATAAAGACGCAGCTAAGGACCCCTTCCCTAATGGAATTTGTGGACTAGTGGGGAAACTGAAACGGGCAGTGGCAGGTTCTCTGGGAGCACACAGGAAGTGTTCCTGTCTCTGACTTGGGGAGGTCGGGAAAGGCCTCCCAGAGAAAGTGATGTAGGAGTTGATATTGAACAGATGAGCAAGAGTTAGTTTGGCGAAGGGGGTGGAGGTGCGGTTAAATGGTTATAGGCAGAGGGAAGAGGATGTGTGAAGGCCTCTAAACAGAAAAGAGTGGAGCTGAGTATTTCTAGAGTGTAGATGTGTGTGGGGGTGGTGAAGGGGGCAGTGAAGGAGAGTGATGAGGCATCAGACTGGGAAGATGAGCGGGGACCAGGTTGTAGAAAGCCCTGGGAGTCATGTTTGAGTTTGGTCTTTCTTTCTAAGGCTAATGGGAGGTGTTTGCAAGGTTTTTAGCAAGGACATGACATGATGCCATTTTTAAAAAGACAACTACTGGCTTCAGTGTGGGTACAGGTCTGTAAGGCAGCTAAGGCTGGAGCCAGGGAGATCTGTTAGGAGAAAGGCAGAGAAAAGCAATCACTGGTTTGCAGGCGTGTCCTGGAGACAACTGCTGCCTGGGGCTGGGATGGAGGAATCTCGAGTTGGGGGTAGGAGGGATGGTCTTTAGGCAGCCTTGGTGGCAGCTTGTAGGTGTGGAGGGAGGAGCAGGGAAGCTGCATTTGAGGACCTCTCCCTGCCTGCTTGCATTTGTAAGTTTTAGTAACCTGGCTCTTAGAAAACATTGAGTCCCATAAAGTGTTAGCGGCACCCTAGGGGGCACAACAGGAAGCAATACTGATGGCTTCAGGCTTTCTAGCGAGGGGTTTGTGGAGGAACAGTGGGCACAGATGCATTTCCTCTGCAACTTCTATTCTTTCGGTGACTACTAAGCTATAAACCTTGCTCTTCCCCTTCTCTGGTCTCCGTATGACTGACCAACTTCTTCTTTAAGTAGGTCTGCTACATATGGCCATACCACTTTACTAAGCAGGAAGCAAACAAGTCATTTATTTCTCTTTCTAACTGAAAGAGCAGCACCTCTGCCTACCCTGCATGGGTTTGCGAAGGTGCCTCTGTTTATACCCATGGCCTGTCGGGTTCTGCATGTTGGAAGTCATTTGTTTGCCCCTTTATTTAATCATTCTAAGTCTTTGATAGTGTTTACCACATGAAGGAAATTAGATGACATATAGAGAACAATGAAATATAATAATGATGTTATTCTGGCTTTTTGGGTGACTATCTGGAAAAGACTATATACACATGTGAATAAGTTAAGGAAGAAATTTAGATGGTATTTTATTTCTCTAGAGTGGTGATTTTCAACTGGTGTACTGTGGCGTACTGGTGTGCCATGAAAATTTGTAAAAATCATTAATTAAATTATTTTTGAAACAAATTTAAACCACAATAAGCACCATATTCTTTTTTTAAACTTTTTTTTTTAGGACAGAGTCTCACTTTATCACCCCATGGTAGAGTGCTGTGACATCATAGCTCACAGCAACCTCAAACTCCTGGGCTTAAGTGATTCTCTTGCCTCATTCTCCCGAGTAGGTGGGAATATAGGTGCCCGCCACAACGCCCGGCTGTTTTTAGAGATGAGGTCTTGCTTTGTTTCAGGCTGTTCTTGAACTTGTGAGCTTAGGCAATCCACCCATCTTGGCCTCCCAAGTGCTGGGATTACAGGCGTGAGCCATGGCTCCCGGCCCTTAACTCTTTTTTTTTTTTTTTTTTTGAATTTGAGAATTAGCGTCAAGCTGTCCCCCTGGGCAGAGTGCCGTGGCATTGCAGCTCACAGCAACTCTTTTTTTTTTTTTTTTTTTGAGCAGCATAATTTAAGTGTGCCATGGAAATTCAATCGTAAGTTCAAGTGTGCCGTGAGATAAAAAAGGCTGAACAACACTGCTCTACAGCATGGCCAATTATTTCCTCTTACATACAGCTCCCTAAATTCATTTGTGGTTCTCAGTTCTGGCGAAGTGAAAGAGTTACCTATTGTGCTTGAATAGAAGGCAGATGCTAGAGCCCTATCCCCAAAGCATTTTGATTCACAGGGTTTGGGATATATAGTAGAGACCCTGAGAGTTGACCACCCAAGAGACTGTAACAAACTGGAGATGGTCAACATAAGGAACTAGGCCTACTGTGCTGATGAGCACATGTGGTGCATGTCCAGTGTATGAAAATTAGGTCAGCTTCAGGAGCTGGTCAGTTATGAAGGTTTTGCTGTACTGGAAAGTGGACTCAATTTTAATGCCAAATTGAATGACATACTCGGGCTTACCTTGAGTTGTCCCTTATAACCATTATAATACAAATACATTATTTTTGTGTAGAATTATTTTTATTGGGTTAGATTAAAACCTGATTAATCGAATCTGTTGTTTCTTATTATGTCTTCCCAGTTACTTCCCAGTCATCTAAATTTGTCTAGGAAGGAAGTTAAAGGGTGTAAATTTGTGATTATTGAGCATTTTTCAAATACTAATATGATGTATTTTTCCTTTTTCTTATGAAGGCCAGCTGTTGAGTCCTGGTAAAAGATCAGGGGCAATTATGTTCTGCAGTAAAAAGAAATTACTTGGTAAGTATTGAGTTCCTCAAATGATGCAAAGTAATATTTTTAAAATATTATTTTTAATTTTTTATGGAAGTTTAATCTATATACAAAAACATGCAGCTCTAAGTATTCAGTTCGGTGAGCTTTGACAATTTGTAAAAGCTTTGACAATTGTAAAACAAGATGAAAAGATTTCTTTCTAGCACCCCAGAAACTGGATCCCTCTTCATTCATCTTTCCTACACCCTACAACCATTTTTTAATTTCTGTAAGATCAGTTTTGAAGTGAATATAAATGAAATCACCTAGTATGTACTGTTCCGTCTTACTTTTATGTTCAGCTTAAGGTTTTTGGCACACACCTGTATGGGTGCATGCGTCCATGATTTGTTCTTCATGGCTCTGCACTCGTAGCACAGTGGTTACAGCGCCAGCCACACATACCTGGGTGGGTTCGAACCCGGCCTGCGCCAGCTAAACAACAATGACAATTGCAACAAAAATAGCCGGGTGTTGTGGCAGATGTCTGTAAGTCCCAGCTACTTGGAAGGCTGAGGCAAGAGAATTGTTTAAGCCCAAGAGTTTGAGGTTGCTGTGAGCTGTGATGCCATGGCACTCTAATGAGGGCAATGAGACTCTGTCTCAAAAAAAAAAAATTGTTCTTCATCTTTAATTTCAAAGCAGTGTTCCATTGAGTGAATGTGACCACATTTAAAACAGTTCATATGGTTAGAAATAATTTTGTTCATGATAGTAGGAAATTTGCTTGTTTTTTGGTTGAGTAATCTGTCTACTGAGTAGAAATGATGTTCCAGTTTCTTTAATATAGTATCCTGATCATAGAGCATTGATTCTTTTATCTCTAGTTAATCAGTGACAGACTACTATATAGTTTTTTTCCTTCAGTGGACATATATCCAACTTACTTTAGTAGTTTAAAAATTTTCTTTGATCACAGACTCTTTAGAAACTAACGGTTGAATTAGAGCGTGTTTAATGTTCTGTCCTTCCTTCTAATAAAGTCCCTGACAGGTGATTAACCTACTTCTATAGGTAATTATTTCACCAGGCAGTCCATTCCCTTGTTGGACACTTATTTCATTGTAACAGTCAGTCTCATAATGAGCTGAACTCTGCTTCCTCGTAGTTCCCACCCACAGGCCATTAGTTATACCCTCTAGGGTAACACGTTCATATTCCCAATGCCAATCAGGTGTCTAGAATTATAGTCCTCATTTTTTTCAAGTGAAATAATTTCTTTATATCAAATAACAGGCATAATTTTAATAGTAGTAACATAAGATTAACCAGCTTTAACATGGATAAGTTTCCCTAAGGACCTAGTGTTGCAAGTATTCAATATTTTAAGAACACGATCCAAGATCCAGGTCTCACTCTTGCCAGTCCTGGGGGCACATGCCCATAGTCCCAGCTACTCAGGAGGCTGAGGCAGGAGGATCATGTAATCCCAGGAGAGTGAAGTTGCAGTGGGCTACTGTTACACTACTGCACTCCAGCTGGGAGTGACAAGTAAGACCTTGTCTGAAAACAAACAAACAAACGGCAAACAAAAAATCCAGAAGTCACTGTAGCTGTGCAATCCAGAGACAACCATTCAAGGCTTCTATGTTGCACAGCTTTAGAAGGGTATGATTACAGTGACATGTTATGTATATTAATCCATATATATAAATATATATATATAAAATCCTCAAATGGAATTATGCTATGTATTATTCTGAAACCTCTTCTTTAAATTTAATACTGTATCATAGATAAATTTTATGTTTTTAAACATTTCTTGATAACATTATTCTTATTTACATTTTCCTCTAACTTTCTATTTTGAAAATGTTGAATTTTACAGAAAAATGAAAAGAATGATTCAATAAACACCCACATACCCTTCAGTTAATACTATAATTATCACCTTTTTGCCACATTTGCTTCCTCTCTCTATTTCTGTCTTTTAATTTTTTCCTGAATCCATTTAGATGAAGCCATTTTGGCACAAACACTATACAGATAGTATTTGTTTTTTAATTGATTAATTAATTGACTGTTTTTTAGATGAGGAATGAGACTGCATTGCTCTTCCCCACACAGAATTTCATGTTACAGACCAATAGTCATTGCCAGATAAGGAGGCTAAAAGTTTTGGTCACATCGCCGTGTCTGTATCTGCTCCCTGATGCTGTCCAGCAGAGAAGGCGGATGCCAGTAATTTCTTCTTGGGCTTGTTATAATGGTTTTATGGCTTGAGAGACTGCTAGTTACAAAACCACCATTTATTTGCGTCATCATGATTGGAACTGATGCATCTTCAGTTCCTGTAGATTAGTGGTTCTCATCCTTCCTAAAGCCACAATGTATTTTCGTTGTTAAAAAGGGGTCATGACCCACAGGTTGAGAACCACTGCTGTAGATCTTGTGATGGTCTGGAGAGCTTTTTTTTTTAACCTAAGATATTCATTCATTTAATCAGTCGATCAACATGCATTTTGAAGCCCTTATGGTTTGCTAGTGCCAACATTGACTTCAAGTAGCTTTCTATGTTTCAATAAAATATAGGTATTCTCACACAATTTTAAGGTTTATGGTAGCAATGATAACTTAAGAACAGTTTACTACACACCACAACTACTACATTTGCCACAGGAACCCAAATTAGAGACCTCCTATTCAACTTGGGGTGATCTGAGGGAAAAATCAAGAGGAGTTAAAATGAGATAGTTCACATCTGCAACATTTAAAAGGTGGACTTACATTTATATAAACTTACATAACATTATCAAGCCTAGGGCATTAACATCTGGGTGAAACTATGACAAACCAGTCATGGATGTTGTGGGACAATAATAATTTTCTCCCAGAGATGCTTTATTCTTTATTATTTCCAGATAAGCCTCACATTCTTAAAGATGTGAAACATTCCAGCCCCTTGACTCAGATATTTAAAACATTATGATTACGGCCTATATTCTGTTTGTTTTTGGAATTTGTCCTTTCTATACAACATGCATGGGAGGCCCAAAGACAAATAGTTTTAAAATGTATGTGTGCTTTTCTGCAAAGCTATCAGGGAGAACATTGTTCATGAGTAAAATACCTAATTCAGATCTATTTAATTTGCTAATATGGAAAGCAAAAGAAGTAGATAATTAGAGGCCTTTTAAAAACTAGCTAAAGCTGTTCTTGATTCTCAAATGGGGGGGAGGATGTCAGGAGCCATCGTGCATTGCTCCTTAAGGAGTATATTCCTGGGTTAGTGGGGTTGGAATAAACAGATGGGGACTGTCTCCCGTGGGCCCTAGGCGTTTTTACATTCGTAGGTTTCTTCCTACATAAAAAATATTAAAAACTGTACTTTACAACTTTGTCGGTATAAAGACAAATATAAGCCAGGCTGGATTCATTATTATATATCGATTATTATTGTGTTAATTTTCTTTTGATTTTCAAATAAATGAAAATTAAAATATTTTTGTGGGCCGTTGAGAGTGTCATGTGCCCAGGTACTCTGTTTGCTAGGTCTCATGGACAAGTCAGCTCTGAACTGGACATGAATGGAGCTAAGTGGCCTTTCAGAGCAACTCTATATCGGGGGAGGAGAGAGACAGCTTCTTAGTTCTTTCTGCTTGTTTTTATGACCCTATGTATAGAAAATATTCAAGGATGCTTATAGTGATAGTGAGTAGTGCTTTCAAGTTATTAATGCTATTGTAAGTTTAAAAATCATGTAACAGTACAGAACTGAATAGTTCCTATGCATTTTCTTCTTTTTTATTGTTGGGGATTCATTGAGGGTACAAGAAACCAGGTTATACGGCTTGCATTTGTTAGGTAAAGTCCCTGTTATAATTGTGTCTTGCCCTCAAAAGGTGTGTCACACACCAAGACTTCTCCCTCTCCTTCCTTCCCTCTCTCTGCTCTCCCCTCTACCACTCCCACCATGTACTAGGTCATTAATTGTCCTCATATGAGAATTGAGTACATAGGCTTCATGCTCCTCCATTCTTGTGATGCGTTACTAAGAATAATGTGTTCCACTTCCATCCAGGTTAATACAAAGGATTTAAAGTCTCCATCTTTCTTAATGGCTGAGTGGTATTCCATGGTCCACATATACCACGCTTATTAATCCATTCCTGGGTTTAGGAGCATTTAGGCTGTTTCCACATTTTGGCGATTATAAATTGAGCTGCAATAAACGATCTAGTGTAAGTGTCCTTATGATAAAAGGATTTTTTTTCCTTCTGGTTAGATGCTTAGTAATTGGGTTGCAGGATCAAATGGGAGGTCTAGCTTGAGTTCTTTGAGGGTTCTCCAAACTTCCTTCCAAAAATGTTATACTAGTTTGCGGTCCCACCAGCAGTGTACAAGTGTTCCTTTCTCTCCACATCCACGCCAGCATCTGCAGTTTTGAGATTTTGTGATGTGGGCCATTCTCTCTGGGGTTAGATGAGATTTCAGGGTGGTTTTGATTTGCATTTCTCTAATAATTAGGGATAACGAGCATTTTTCATATGTTTGTTAGCCATTCATCTGTCTTCTTTAGAGAAGATTCTATTCATGTCTCTTGCCCATTGATATATAGGATTGTTGGCTTTTTTCATGTAGATTAATTTGAATTCTCTATAGATCCTAGTGATCAAGGTTTTATCTGATTCAAAATAAGCAAATATCCTTTCTCATTGTGTAGGTTGTCTGTTTGCTTTGGTTGTTGTCTTTTTAGCTGTACAGAAGCTTTTCAGTTTCAATAAGTCTCATTTGTTTATTTTTGTTGTTGTTATAATTGCCATGACAGTCTTCTTCATAAAGTCTTTCCCCAGGCCGATATCATCAAGTGTTTTTTCTATGTTTTCTTTGAGGATTTTTTATCATTTCATGCCTTAAATTTAGGTCTTTTATCCATCTTGAATCAATTTTTGTGAGTGGAGAAAGGTGTGGTCCAGTTTCAGTCTTTTACAGGTGGATATCCAGTTCTCTCAGCACCATTTATTGATTGAGGAGTCTTTCCCCCA